AATCATTATTTCGTTGTCATAAGGACTAAAATGTGAAGGCAGGACCGATGCCAAGTGCGAGAATCAACTGAGAGGAACTATGCAAAAAGCACATAAACAAATGTGCTGGCCGAAAAACCTACCTTGGAGTTAAGATGACGAAACAGGCACATGGAGGTAAATTAAACATAAAAAAAGGCTTCACGAAAATGTCAGCATAAAATTGTGCTCCAGAGCGTTAAGAACACAACACAGCCATGCTGTAATTTGGGCTCTCTGTTTTACCCAACGAGGTCGCATGCACCAAAAACACCACGAGTCGTGAAGTTTTTCCGCCGGCGAGTCTGAGGGGTTGGAATTCAAAATGGCCGTCACCTCTGCGATGTAACTGTAGAATACTCGAGCCCAAGTATGAATAAGACTGGTACAACAGAACAGGCTTTATTGACCAATTACAAGCCAGAACCTCACGTCAGGCGCCGTCCATCCGAGTCCACCACGCTGGCCACGCCGCTCATTATTAACTGCACCTCATTCGTGTCCTTCTCTGGTTGGCTGCTTATCTTCCTCGCATGCCCTTGGAACGCAGAGACACAGGATTGGCTGAGGCCAGGTGGTCCAAAATGTCTGCGCCCTAATCCGACGCCACACCATATAACAAACAATGGCGCGGTGAACAGCCAAGCAGATTAGAGTCAACTTCAGCATGCCAAAACAGTACCGTCTACATACACAGCGAGCCATACTTAGGTCGGTTTGTCAGTGTTTGGCAGGACCAAAGGGATCAGTTTTTGATGCACCAAAGAAAGACAGGCAAAAAGGTAGCTCGACGTGAACTCCAAGTCACATGGAAGCCGTGGCAAGAGAAGTCACTAATAGGCTACCTGTAGGAGTAGAAGGCGAAGCACCCGGGAGAAACCTTGCTACCGCCACCGTAAGCACCGCCTTGCTCCCTACAAAGGTAAGACACCAAATACAACAACAATACCAAGCAGTAGTGTCGGTTGATGCAAAATTTGCGATATTTGTTTGTCTCAGACATGATTTACATGGATAGACGTCAAAGCAGCCATTTTACAAAACCATACTAACACACCCCATACGAAAGAACATCAATTAGCACAATTCCTGACAACTGCAAAAAATTAGGGCTCTTTGTTGGGATGTTAACTTAAAGTGGGAGCAAATCGGTATAATGAAGGCGCAGATTACCACGGGCCTGGTAAGCGTTTAATGAGATTTGAAGCAGAAGTTACAATATCCACATACCGGATAGCAGGGTGAAGGAACTTCGAGTCAAGGAGGTGAGACAATACGCGGTAACTGAAAATAAAACAACACACTTGAGAAGCGTGCACGGTCGATTTGCGCACTACTGTTCATCATGCACGTAGATAGGTCGATTAGAAAATACTGAAAGGTTTAAAATCTCTACAACTGAGCTTTAATTAAAGTCGCAAAACAAGGACTACTGTGTCCTTCGTGACAACTACATTAAAAATCATGAACGAATTTCCAAGTTAACAGGCATGGCAGAACACCAAAGACTGGCAGGGTTCACGCGACATCTAGGCTGAATGCTAGCAACTCCTACAGAGATCTTTCAGTGTAGAAATTAAAATCATCGATTACATTGGTGCTGAGGAACGAATCAAGCCCTTATGGAGTTTCAATGACATGGTAGCGCATACGAAGCCAAATCAACACAATTGGGCGCATTCCTAAAAGAGGACAACTAACGCGGGGAACTCTTTGGCGGTGTAGTGTGGCGCAGGCAAAGAGAGACTGGTGTAGTGGACTGAGTAGGGTAGAGCGACGTAGACATTTTGGGTGACATCAGAGGGATCGGGCGTGGGAGCGCCAATGACATCACCACTTCCAACCTCAGAATTGGGCACTTCAGCGATGAAGGATTCGAGACATTTGCAAGCCGATGCCAAGCCGCTTTCCTCGCCGTGAAGGCTGAATCTAAAAGGCGGCAAGGAAATTCTACGCATTCTTGGTAGTTGAAATCGACGGGTATGACTAGGGTCCACATTATCCAAGTTCAACGCAACTTGAGGTGCTTTGTGATGCAGAACTAACCTGAGTCGCTTGGATTTCAGGGCGTGGTCCGCAATGGCCTTCATCTTGCCGATGAAGTCGTCAAATGCCCGACTTCGCTCAACTTCGTTGGGATTTGTGATCTGCTTGGCAAGCCGACGCATGAACGCGGCCTGTTCTATGCCCGACCACAGCTCCGACATGCGGCCAGTTGAGCAGAGATTGGCCGAAGCCCGACGCATTGCAAGCCGATGCGCTGGAACCAGGCAAAGTGGTATTGCATCAACATAATCAGTTCCTAATTATTCCAATGCACAGAGAGAACTACGATTTCGTGCGTCGAATAGACAAAAACGTGTTCCCCAAAGAGTACATGGGCATTACAGTCAAGGGTCCTTAACTATGCCTTGTCGATTGATGGAGTTGCAAACGGGAGACGTGTTTTTACCCTACGCACACAATTAGTGCCAGCAGACACGCGACATGTACAGCGTTGTGTGAGAAGCAATTGGCCCAACTCCAATCATTGCAACACGAGTTGATTAAAACAAAACAAGGCCTGATCTCACCATTATAAGACAGTGAATTGGCAGACCAATCACCAGCCACCAGCATGTTCACGAGGGTCTGAATGCGCAGAGAATCAAGCCAATCGTTGGCACGCACACGTTTGCAGAGCAATTCAAACATCCTGGGCACCTTCTCCTCCAGGCAGTAGGCTGACAAGTGCAGATGCCGCGCACATGGGGCCTTCAAGTCCTCGGCCAAGCCAGACGTGGCGTGTGGCGTGGCGCGCAGAGCGCCCGTGTTCAGCTCCTGGAGGTGATCCATCTCCTGGTACGTCAGCCCGTCCGCTCCCAACCTACAACGTCCACAAAAGCATCAGTTGGTGTGCTGACACCTCAACAGACCATCATATACTAGCGAAAAGACAGCACTTGTAAAAAAAGGGGATTTCGACAGTGGATGTAGACCCTGCGCTTTCTGATTTAAGTGAAACTTACCTCTATCTGATCTCGCTCCATCATGAGATAATTACGAGTGAGAAAAACTATGTTGTTTTGTTCTTCTCAAGAACTCTGCGACCACAGTGCATGCCTACGTGCTGCGACTTTCCAAAACAGCAAATCCTCACAACAACATGAGGCCGAAACTGACGGCGTTTGCAACGAATGTTCCTTATTTGGCACATTCAGTAATGAAGACCTAGTCCCACACACAGGTGGGAGGAATAGTTTGCGAATTGGATACATAAAAACGCAATTTAAATAACGAGTGGAACAGAAATTCTCGAAAACCGTATTCCATAAAAAGCAGTGCCTGGGAACTCCGGTCACACACCGACTAATCGCATTAAATCTCGGTTTCTTCGCAACCGAGAGGCGCCACAATTTAGGCAATTTGGAATTTACACAAAATTGGCATTCATGATAAAAGAGCCTACTTTGAGAAGAGGCTGGCGAAAACGGGGACGTAAATGAAGAGCTCTTGAGGCAGATCGGAGATGTTGGCGAGGGCATGGAAGTAAACCAATCCATTCGTCGGCGCCACATTCAATTGCAACGGTGACCCACCCACTGCATGGCGCAAGGCAAATGAAAAAAAATACCCGATGAGAACGGACAAAGGGCACTTAATGGATGTCACAGTTCCAACTCACTCTGAGTTTCAGTGAACGGCTCGGGACGGCATTTGGGAGGGATGTCAACAAGGGTCAGGCAGGGCAGACAGGAGAGGTCTTCCTCCCGCTTTTGTTCTGCTGCCAATTCGCGAGCTGGAATAACAAAACAACGGTGAAGATTGTTAGTTGTTTCGTGGATGCTCTTTACCAGATTTGGAAGACTGAGGACTTTAATTTTATTAGACACTCGCATTAACGACACGACTAGGCAGGTGTTAACTCACACAACTTGACAACCTCCCTCTTCCCTTCTTCGGTTAACTTGCCGACAGCCTTGGCCACACGCTCAGCCTCCTTGGAAGCTTCGAGGGCCTCAAATTTGTCGTCGGGCAGCATAATGACGGTGAGGCGATGAGGATTGCCAACCAGGTACTGGGAGATGAGTTTTTGAAGGAAGGCGGGATCAGTTGCAAGGTCCGCCTTGAACCTGTTGATCAATTGCTTTACGGAGAGGCGGGCGAACAAATCGCCGCCGTGGTTTACGACTGACGAGATGGCCAAAATTAACTGCAGACCAAAGTCGGCGGAGTCCTCGCGAATAGCGATTTCTTTCTTGTGCAAGACGGCTTCCACGCGTTCCTACAGACAATAAGGGGTGATTGACTCAACACCCAGTTAACGGACAGGGAGGCATTAGTCTTGATCAGATTATAGTTGTGGAAGGTATGGAAACCACGTACAACACACGGATGAAGCACTAACACTGTCAAAATCGACTCTACGGATAAAAACACAACAAAAATTTAACTGTGGATAACAAGGGCGGTGAGGGAGTGACCAAGCAACGCGAATGTGGAACAGTCTAAACGGAATGAAGACGTACTTGAGGAAATCCTGTCTTGGCGGTCTCCTTGAGAATGTCCATGATTGTTTTATCGATTTTCTCCACATCCTCAAGACGCACACCCTGGAGGCCAACGTGGAAACAGGTAGTGCGGAGGTACCGATCCATTCCATGCACCGGATTGGACCAATCAAGACCCAAACCCGATTCAATAAGACCTCGGTACAGGGGTGCACTGTCTCCGTCTGTCAGAAGCTTCAAGACGATTGAAAGAGCAAAGTTGGTGTAGATTTCAAGTATACTAAAACGACAACAGCCTAATTTTAATGACTGCTGGTTCATAGGAATTAAAAGAATTGAACTTAATCCCACATTAACCAATTCTGCCAAAAGAAAGGGCGCAATTCTGTGGATGAAATGCGCGGTGGACAAAAGAGGGTAAGCAAAAGGTAGAGGCCAAGTAAGACACACAGAATGCCTGACAACAGAACGACGTGGAAGACAAATACCAGAGACGATGGAGGCGACTTTAAGATGGCTCGATTAAGTGGCGTTGTAGTAGACTTAAACAAGGGAAATGTACAGCCGGAGACAGAAGGAACTTAAAAAAACAGAAGATTCCTTAGGTATGGTGTTCGGATGTGCGCTGTTGTAGTTGTATGTGTTATCCCCTCAGCACACCCAAATGAGGGGATAGAACAAGAGAACTCGCGTGAAGCACAGCTCGGGGGAGACGAGTAGGTAGAACAAGAGAGGAACCAGGAAGTAAGGGAGAGGTCAGATAAGGAGAAGCCAGACTTACTCGGTGAGAGCGAAGCTCAGAGACACGACGCCAGCTCTCGAGGGATCGGCCAGCGTGGGGTCGGGCTGACAAGTCAAGCGCACCAACCGCTTAAGAGAGAGGGTGAAAAAAAGTGAGCCAGGATTGTGCGTGCTGTAGGAAAGGATTGAGTTTGGGACAAACAGTAAGAATTAACCAGCAGTAGTAATACCTAGGCGTTTTCTCGTTACCTTAAGATTAAAAGCAGGCTTCTATTTGAGGCCTATTTTATAGTTGGTGAGATAGGATGGATGCTAATGAAAAGGGAAACTAGTTTCTAGCCGGCATGTTCAACTTGCCACTGCAAAAAAACTTCATTTAGAAAACTGTACACGCGTCTGAGTTTACCGTAGGGGCAAAATTTAGTTCAATGATTCTAATTGGCTCCCCTGAACTGAGGACCTGGTAGCCGACGCCTGAAAGGTGTTGCATCTTGCGTGAACAGTGACGAAAGCCTTCTTTTCGTAAGCCTATTTAATAGTTGGTGAGATGGGTAGAGCTGGGATCACGTGCCCTCACAAAAGACCCAATCGCCTCGACGACACATGCGGAAATTCTTTCGGTGAATAAGAGTTGAAATAGTTTCGCATTGAATATGGCAAGGAATCTGGCTCTGTTGAAATAACTGTGGTAAAACCAAATGCTGTTTTTAGTCGTCCATTGAAACTGCAGTTCAAGGAACTCCAGTATAAGGGACGACACTTTTCAATAGTGTTTCCCTTCCAATTTCAAGTGAAAATGCCTTCACATGACCTTGACATCAAAGGAGCTGTGTCAATTTCCCGAATTCGCGTAACGCACTACAATTGCCATGTCAAATGTCGCACCAATTACTACTACTACACCTGAGCTGACCCGTTAATCGAAGGTTTCTTCAGGTTCACATGAATAGATTCTGACATTCAGAGTTATGTCGCCATTTTAAGAGGTGATCCTTCACGTAAAGCTGGTGGATGAATTAATGTCGAAGACATTAACACCCACAGAACCAAACTTGAGGATGCGCGTCGCTACAGTGGCATGTCCTTGCCAGTATTCCAAGCCAAAATGCTATTTCAGTCAACAGTGTGACGCAAAGTAGCCTTTGACACAAGCTATAGGATTACATCCATTTCCACAACACCGCGTCTTCAGGGGAGGCAAGATGAAGGAGGATTAAGCAATTTGTCGGGTTGATAATAGCGCAACAACTGGACCTCTGACGTGGCCCTTCGGTGAAGCTAACCACTCATTTGCATGTTCAAGAAAGGAAACACGTGGAGGGTCTAGAAGCGACGTTTTCTTCGGCTGCGATGTTAAAGCAGCCTTAATAGAAAGGAAAAGGTATAAAATAAGGGCAAAAATATTTTGCTTTATCCAGAGAAATGCAGAATCCGCAAGTAGCAGGTAAGGAAAAAAAAGTGATAAGTGCAACCAGTGCGTACCGACTCCGTCCACTTGGGTTCAAGGACAACTGTTGGTGAGGGATCCTGGGCGGTGAATTTCCCCAAACACTCGGAATCTAGATGCTGAAGATAGTTGTCCAAGTCAATGTTGCCATATGAATATATGCTAAAAGTTGGAGAAACACGAGGTCAAAAACAAAAAAAAACTTATCACCCGGGCAAAACATGAGGCTTGTACGACCCGCCCACCGAGTTCTCGAATTGCAAACACGAGGATTTATATAGAGACCTAATGGTAAATCTGCGCTGGCTTTCGCAAGACAAGCCTATAAAGCTTGCAGAGACGGTTACATGAGACAGTCGTAGAGACAACGCTGAGGTTCCCCTACTTCTTGTCCATCAACTCATTTTAACGCAAGAATAAATGTTAGGCGCTTACTTGGCATTACTAGGGTGGTAGAAGTCGTGGTAGAACTTCTTCAGAGCCTCCCAACTCAGAGATGGAATGGCATCAGGATGGCCACCGCTAATGTAGCCGTAGCTCACTGGGAGAAGGTTGTTTTCCACAACTTGATGGAGAAGATTCAGTGAGTTGGACTAGACAAAAGATTGAGAAGATCGCGCAAATAATGCATTATACTTATGCCCAGCATTTTATCAGTTAACATTTTGCATATTCGATTTCGGTGTACTTTAAGTTTGTACTGAAAGGGAAGGATTGTAAGACACACGAACTTTTAACGGAATCGTATAAGTAACTTACGAACACTCCCTTCATTTCGTTATAAACGATGCCCTTTATAACCAGTTTCGAAGACTTGTCTTCAAGGTTTTCGGGTTCCAGTCTCCAGCCCTCCTGCCTAAATTCAATTTGAGTAAGGTCTGATGCTGTGGCTCACATAAAATCCAGCTTATTCAGACTTGGGAAAAATACAGCATCAGCATAGACGCCCACGAGATTTTGGAAATCGACAGAATTCATTGTACTCAACGGATACATAGTCAGGTCACTTCCTAGAATAACGGAGTTATTTAACTAAAGAACTGAGAACCTGTGTGTGCATTCATATATGTAGCTTGACTACGACGAAGCATTTTGAAAAACGGATCCCGAACGGGGTATTTTTCCGAACCACAGAGAACAGTATGCTCGAGAATGTGAGGGATGCCAGAATTGTCCATTGGTGTAGTTCTAAATTGTACGCTAAATACAAAAAGGACTTTTAGCATAAACTCGGGCACCTAATTACAGAGCTAAAGTAGAAAGGTTTAAGGTACTAAAATTAGTTGAGAATTAAGACGTTTGTATTCTGGAGTTGAACCAGCAAGCCGACCTAAATCCGGAAGTGTTCAAAGACGTGTTGGCAAATGTGTGCCGATAAGGGCACAGTATGAGTGAAGATTCCTACGTCTGCCAAAATGTCCTAGACTAAAGCCCCTGGCCTGGGTAGTGCTAACATGTTAGATGTTTGTGCAAATTTCGAGAGAAAACAATGGCCTTGGCGAGTTCGTGGGAGTGCCATGTGCAACCCTTGGGTCATAGCCAAATACAACTAAAAACGATTTGACAGAATAAGAAGACTGAAGGTTTGTGTGTAAAACACAAAATGGGATTAAGAGATGTTCTTTCAAACACTAATTCAGAATTATCATAAAACCGTCTTTGAGTCAGTAAGCTTGTAGTAAGGAAACATAAAAGACCTTTTTGAGAATTAGTGACAACTGCGCGATAATCTACACTACACGGAATGTACAATCACCGACTGAAAACATAACCTCGATCATCTAGCAGTACTGAAGTAATAAGAGTCAATACTATGGAATTAATTAGACTTTGCACATACACAAAGCACAAATAATATCACCTAGCAAATTTACGAACTGGACCACATCAACAGAAATCTATAATATGGTGCGACGGAAAAGGGTAACTAGTAGTTATCATTAACTGCCATTCATCACCTAATATAGATAAAAATTAAGAGTTTACAACCAAAAACTAACCAGATAGATAACAAATAAAGGTACCATTAAATTTGAAACTCTGTAGCAAAGCTATTAAATCAACAAATTTAAAATCTCCACAGAATGATTTTACCCCCACAATTGAACAAAGAGTTAGGAACTAAAGAATAAGCTGACCATACTGCGTTAAAAAATCTCATGGCTATACTTTACACACCTAAAGGTACAGTTTGGGTCATCACGAAGGAGATGGATTAAATTTGCGCCGGATTTTTCGTGATGCATTTGCACAACCGTAAGCCGATATTCATCAATATCAAATACCTAAAAATAAGAAGCATTATTTTGTTTTACCTGCGTGACCTTAAAACCGTGGATAATACTTCCACAGTTTAAGGACTGAGTGTTCTCTATCATCACCCTATGCACGAAATCTCCAACTGCAATGAATCCAATTGACGCCAGCGGTATCAACTCATATAAATACAATGGTATTAATCATTTGTTATTTTTATAAGCCTATGACCAAACTCCTGCCTAGTTTTTACTTATTCTATCGTACTTTAGTTATGTATACCCTTTTAGAAACAAAATAATTGCTTTAACGCATCATGAAGCCACTAAGAATTTTCAAAAGGGTATTCAGTGCGATTTGAACAGCCAATAACGTACTTAATAATTTCGTTAAAATTAATGGTTTTAATTATACTGACCTAGTTTTCTAAGCCGTGAATAAAAACATGCATACCACACCTTTATTAACACCGAGCAATTTGATTGTTTTGGTGGACAATTTTATGAAATTGTGAAAGGTAGTTATTAGGAAGCTTCAATTTTTAAAAGCACAATTTTCACAAAGAAACTTTGGAAGCGCTGTTTCACCAAGCCTATAACTGTCACGGCTTGGAAAAGTTTATGCAACTTTTGATAGAATTATCTTCTTAAGGGTGCTTTCTAAATACCAAATATTAAAAGATCAGAAATTTTTAATCGGTTGTGTATGGTGTTAAAGTATAGAAATAGATAAATAATAAATGTTATCTTATAGCCCTACAACATCATTTCTTTAAGCCTTAGAGCATAATTTGTTCTTGTGTGTGTGAGGCTGTAGCGATTATGTGGTAAATTTTTTTTAATGGCAGAGCATGAAGCAATTAGATAATCGAATGAGAAAACGATTCGATCAAATTTAACTTATTTGCCTGTTGCGAATAACTTCAGTGTGGTAAATACTTCTATTTACCGCATTGCACCTACGTGCGCTTTATGTTGGCAGAAAATTTATATATTTTCGTGTCACCTGATGAATACATTTGGCGTCCTAGTGCTCTTTAAAATCATTGTTTTTTTTCCTTAATGCCTTGTTTTCATTAAGTGTCTCGGATGTGAAATATTACTATTTTTTTCAGAAAAGTTTAAATGTATTTCGACATCTTCTGTGTCCAAATGTATGCTAGATTAAATGCTGATCTGATGTAGCCTTTAAGCAAGAGGATTTTGCATTTTTGACTTCATTTAGTTTGAAAACACCTGTGAGCCTAATCAAGTTTATGCACGTGACATAAAGGTATGCTTACTAAGCCTAAAATACCGTACATCACTGCTTGATCGTTTCCTGGTATAAGATATGCGTAAACCAGTCATTAAGACCTACTGATGTGTGGCAAATTATAATTACTTTTGGCAAAGGTAGGTGTGGCTCTTCTCATCCAACCGCTTTGTTACCCCTTAGTTATGCCGAACTCCGGCGCAAATACCATCCTCGTTACTCATCTAATTCATTTGATTAATCAGACGCATATGTCATTTACAAGGCATCTTTAAAAGGTCAACCAAAGGCACTTTTGATCCACAGCAAAGGATTTTCACATTGCGTCAATGCCATTTTTCCCCCACAGCAAGGGTGTAGAATTTTTGGCGTTTTCATGAGATGAAAAAGAAACCACACATTGTCATATGGACACAAGTGTAAAATCGATTACTAAAGTGCTCTAAATGCCATGTAATTTCGGTTTAAGAGCACAGTCATGATGGACAGTATAGTTGGTTTTAAATTTTCTATGTGCTATGGAAATTTTTCAGTCGTTTTATTTCATAAAATATTTTTATCACCTGTCTTCATTATTTGTCAGTAAGTTTCAACTAACCTGTATTCAAAATTCAAATAAAGAGTTACTCATGCTTTTAGGTCCCCTGCCTGAGTCTTGAGTATTAAATATGAAACGTCAACATTAGCCCTCTGTTAGGAACTAATAATGACCTTAAATTGCCATTTCCTAGAATGACCTTCTAGCTACGAATTTATGGACAAGTTTTCAAACCTTTGAAATCGTCCATAATAAATACTGCTCGACATCAGAGTGCAAAGGCTGCTTTACTACAAATACGATTGCCTTTAATCACGTCAGCCACGTGCAAGTGAGTTTTTAGAAGTGAACCCTAATTCAAGTCAACCTTAGCCTTGACCTGATAAAAAGTGTAATAAAGCAGATGTCGGGGAATTAATGTAAATAATGACAAAAATTGGCTATAATAAATCTTGAGGAATCCTAGATCCTCAAAAGTTTTCGTAACTCAGCTTTTGGATGCATCTACAATTTTGAATCAAGTTTCTTTGTGAATTTCGTTTCACTTTTTGTGTACTCATCGCCAGATCGTTCTTTTAATTGCTGGGTCTTCTCTTAGTGGCGTTATTACAAGTTAATTAATTTTTTCCAGCAGATTTTAGCAATTAGTTTACCTTTTGTAACCTAAAATGAATAAAACGTTTAGTATGATATGTTAAAGGGAGTATGGTCTTTAGGGAACTTTGCTCAAAAGAGGAATGTAAGTCACAGAACTAACGATTCATCTACTACATATACATATACTACTACTACTATATTTTCATATCGCTAACCCTAAGCTAAACATTGTTAAAAAATTATAAAATACCTATTCACAAGCACGTTCGGAATGTTCCACTGACAGTCACAAAATGCAACTAGAAATCTAGTTGAACAAACTAAGGAGTCCAATAGGATGGAATAGAGCATAGGCTTTGTTGATTTTGAAAGATCGAGCATTAATTCTAAAGTTCCTAGCAAGCCAAACTATAAAACAAGAGTAACCAAAATTGAGAAGCACGATATGGACTTTGTCGAATTCCCAGATGAAATTATTGACAAAATAGTACAAATTACTTAAGTTAACTGCAGTAATTTATAACTATACGAAAGAATAGTAATCGACCTTAAGAATAATGTCATGTCAACATTTACGTACCATTATATTTGGAAGCAACTGATAACTAGGGCTCTGATACAAAACAGTGCACTATAATGCCAGACTGCAATAGGTCTAAATAATAACTAAAGTAGTTACTTTTTTGGATTTCCCGCGATGTAGAAATTAACGCACATATATTCGTTGCCTTTATGGCTGACTAGTAGAACCACATTGATTTCGTTGCGATTCTCACATATTATACAAAGTTAAAGCAATAAAAAGGATAAAATTAACCTAAAGGACAAACAGTAAGCAAATACGTTTGATTTTGATGTTTATAGCTGTCAACCTACACGGATTTTGTTTCAGAAAATGTAAAAATTATTAATCAGCAAA